TTTTTTAAAAATGCTCTCAATATAAATTTAAGGTGGTGGTTATATTGGTCAGATATCATTAGAAAGATTGAATGGCTTTTAATTAACTATCTTTAAGTGAGGACACAGACTCTGAGCAGGAATTACCTAAAGTAGGGAGTGGTGGCCTTTCAGAGAGGAAACATGTGCAGTAGGGTGGTATATTAGATTAATTTGTATTATTACAAGTAATTTAGTATGGCTAGAGTATAGGATGTCAGTGGGGGAGTACCAGGAGATAGATTGGGAAATATGACAGATGTGCTTGACTATTTCATTAAATGTTATGGTGGATCATTTAAAGATTTGAGTAGAGGAGTGACATGAAATTCATTTTCAAAAGTTTGTTACCACTGTAGATGGCAGATGGGGGATGGGAGTTGGATTTAGGGAGACTCTTGAGGAGGCTACTGGATTTAATAAGGGTCAGAACTGAGAACTTAAAGTGACATGGATGTAGAAAGGATGGATACAAAAGAAGCTAGTGAGATGGAATCTATGGAACCTGTGCTCTGATTTAATGTGGGTAGTAGAAAGGCACTACTAAAAGTGACATGTTTATGATCATTCTAGGGCTTCTGGCTTAGATGGATTCCCTGTCATTCACTGAGAGACTAGAATGAATTTGAGGGAAAAAGGGTAAATTTGATTTGGGGAATATTAAATTTGAGGTATTTATGGCATAGCCAAGTGCAAATTCTTTGTTTTCAGTTGGATAAAAGAAGAGAGGATTTGGGACTTGTCTCTGTGGTACTATGCCCACATTTGATGAAATGATGCCCTGCATTTGGGTTAGATCACCTAGGCGTAGGGTCAGGTCTTTTGTTACACCATATTCTAAAAATCCACCCTTGAGCGGTAATACATAGTTCCCTAGGGAAGGAGACACTTGGCCCTTTGAGCCATGAGTCATATTCCTGGTCCTTGCAGTCAATCCAAAATGTGAGTCTTTTCTTCATAGTCTGTCATAAGGATCCCTTGGACATATAATGTAAAGATACCAGTTTATTGTTCCTATAGCTCTAAACATTTTTTATTACTCTAAAACAATACTATCAATCTAATCTAAATACATTTTTAATCTAATAGAGTTATAGTAATAGCAGTCATTATTTTTGTTTTTCTAACTTGGAGTTTACTATAAAATGGTTATCAGATGTTTTCCATTAATTTATTCTCATGTAGCCTACCTGCTGACATAACATCATAAATTCAGCTTATCTTAGTAGCATACCTGAAAACCTCCCCTTGGTGTTTAACTATAAAGCCAGTTATTTTAACGTATTTACTTAGCAGCTTTGTTGGGAACTTTAGTCTTTCTAGAAGGATTCATGGGTTCCTTCTCATTCCACTTGCTCTCTTCCACTGGGTTATTTATTGGCCTTGAGAAATTCTATGAGTAGTGCTTTAACTTCTCCTAGATGTCATTGTATGGCATTGTATCCTGGCTTCTTGATTTACTCTTCTTTCAAGTTTCTCTGACCCGATTGCCCACTTTTCTTGTTCTTTCTTTCACTGGCAGTTTCATAACTAAGTTGCCTCCTTGCCATCAAGAGGTCAGGTGGAGTGTGGACATAGGACTGCAGGGACAGAATGAGTGCTTGTAGAGCTGCAAGGCCACTGTGATGGATAGGACTCCTGCAGTCACTCCCACAGATATTACTGTAGAGTAGCAATTGTCCTTCATATATGGGTCCTTCAAAATTCAAGGTCTGCCAGCTGTCTTTAATTTGTAGGCATACTCAAACATTTTTATGACCACACCTAAATGTGAAGGGGGAGAGAGATGTTGAATTGATTCCTACAAACATTTAAAAGAGCGTAGTTAAGGGCGCCTGGGTGGCTCGGTTGGTTAGGCAACTGCCTTCAGCTCAGGTCGTGATCCTGGAATCCCAGGATCGAGTCCCACATCGGGCTCCCTGCTCAGTGGGGAGTCTGCTTCTCCCTCTGACCCTCTCCCCTCTCATGCTCTCTCTCACTCTCTCTCTCTCAAATAAATAAATAAAATCTTAAAAAAAATAAAAAATAAATAAAAGAGCGTAGTTAAAATGTCAATAGTAGTCTGGCTAAAGATAATGAAAAGTCTGCCTTTAAAAAAAAAAACTGATCACAGTGCATGATTTCTTTACAAGTAGTCAATCATTTAAATTGCAAACACTAACCACTGACTACTTCTTAATGTTCATTTAAAATTATTTCAAGAGTGCTCACAGATATCTGAGAACATCTTTTAGTCACAGATAAATACACCTTTTGAGATGCAATAGAATGCCAGTGCAGAAAGTATATATGAAATGAGACTGAAACTTTGTAATTATTGTACAGTGGCATTTTAGTGATAAGCAGTATTTGGTTATGTTTCTATGCCAAAGGAAAGAATATAATTCTCAGCTGTTTAATTTAAATTTGAAACTTACAAAGAAATCCGTATGCTAGCTGGTTAATAGAATTCCTGTTAGATTTTTCTAAATTGTATACCAGGTTTATATGAAAAAAAAAATTGTTTTTCCCTTTTATTTCTCTGCCAATAGCATTAAAAAAATACTGTTCCCAAATCTTCATTCATTTTAGTATAGCTGTTTTCCCAATTTCTTGGATTGTAAACTGTGGCAAGACTCATCAGAATGTAAGGCGTTGGTATTGTTTTTGTTTCCTTTTCCCCCCTTGCCCCTAGTGTTTAGCTCTGATGTTAAGTCATTCTTTCAGTTATGGTTAAGATGAGACATGCATGGGTGATTTGCACTTAACTGCTCGCCTCCACACACACAAATGCCTCAGCTTCACATCTAATCGTGATTCATGCCTTATGCCAGACTCTTGCTGTCATCCCAGCATCAGCAGATGGTGGGACAAGACCCCTGGGGCAGTCTGCCCCAGCATTCTGGGGTTATACATCTTCTGGTAGCAATGGTCAGAAAAGGAAGGATTTTAATATGGCAAATTGAGTTCAGTTCTTTTTGACTTCTTGGGGCAAAAAAATCAAGTAATGGAAATTTGGTGTCTGATTTTCAGGTGGTATCTTAAAAACTTATTTTTTAGTCCAAGAAACAAAATAAAAGCAAAACATCACATTATATTTTATACATATATAAAATTGTCCTTGCTGAAAGGACAGCTTCTGTGTTTAAGTCCCATCATGGGTAGTTTATGTTTGTAATAATCTGAATTATGAGAAACATAGAAACTGCACACAGAAGGGTAGGTTTCTCTATTCATGCTTAAGTTTTCTGTTCTAAAAAAACAAAACCAAAAACCAGTGGATGCCAGGTAAAACACATGTCAATTTGTTAGTGTCATAGAATCTGAAGTAGCTATTTATTCTCTATGATTAGTGACTTTAGACAAGTTTACTTCATTTTTCTGGGCTCTGTTTCTTCACTTAATAAATAGCGTTATTTTAAAGTATCTCCAAAATTTCCTTTTTATTTTACTACATAAATATAAGAAACTAAAATAATATTTGCTGTATGAAAATGTACTAGGCTTATGATAGCAACAGGAAGTGCATAGATGGAGTTTCAACATGGGATAATCTTGGTTACTTCATCTATAGTACTAATGTCTTAGGTGAGCACACAGATAACCAGTTGCAAATAACTTGTTTTAAGGTAATAAATCCATGGAAGTATAATTTTCCATATAGCTTTCTATTTCTTCAGAACCATTTCACAGTCCCAACTTCTTTTGATAATGTTAAGAGAGTGTTAAAGGTTCTTTAGCTCAGAATCCTGCATAGTCAAGGGGTGCACAGAACAGTGGTTTTTAACTTTTTTGACCAGACCCTATAATTAGAAATACATTTTACATGGAGTAGTACATGTGCATACATGCAGTTCAAACCAAAGTTGCACTGTTTTATCTTATTATGGGCAAGATTTTTTTCTATTTTGTTGTTGTTGCAGATGTTAATTTTGTTTCTCTTTGTAAGAAATTACTGGTTCTTGTTCACCAAGCCAGAGTTCCTAATGGATTGGGACCCACAATTTGAAAAACACTATACTAAACAACCAGTACTTACTATAAAGAAATACATTATTGGGGGGGTAGACTCTCAAATTATTAAAAATGATTTTCCTATTCTGTGTTGATCACAACAGCTGGCATTTACTTAACAAGCAGTCTTTAGAGTTCCCTCTTAATTTGTATGTATATCCAAAGGATGTAAAGGATATAGGGGACTGAATTTAAATTGGATGTTTTAATGAGCTTTATAACTCTCTAAATACATGCCATTCCTCTTCATTGTTTAGAATCAAATAGTAATTTTAAGTTTTATTTCCTTGAGTTTTTCTTTACTTCCATCATCATTCCAGTGTTCTTACTGTCTTTTAATAGGTCATGCTTTCAATAACAGGTACATGAGTGGCTTGGTTTCATAGAAAAGTTATTTGTATTTTAACAAAGAAGAGAAAGAAAGAAGTAGGGGACTCTTATATTTCTATATCAACAAATAGAGTTCTGAACACCATGGCCTTATTGCTGTTTACTATTTCTCTTCTTCATTAGTGGTCATTTGAATGGGTTATATGAAAAACATAGTAGTCATGGGAACTATATAGTCTCCTCTGTATGATTCCATATGAAATGACATAAGGTGAGTTTTTTGCTCACTTAACTGTCATTAAAAATTACTATAGCATTGTAGGAAACCATAGAAATTACATATATAATGATATTGCCATTAAGAATTCAGAAGGGAAGTAGAAAAAAAGCATTCCTAGTCTGAATAGACCAGATTAGAACTAACATTGAAGAGTAAATATGGTGTACAAATGGTATATTCAGAAAAGATTCCTTTATAATCTGACTTTCGATAGACAAAACATTGTATTAGAAAGTGTTTTGTGCAAATAAAAACTCAAGGTAAAAGCAGCTTGTTTTTAACTGAAGATTATAAATATATATTTATATAAATGTATATAGATAAAGTCGTATTAGTGTTGAAGATTTTCATTTAAGTTCTTTGTATGTATCTCTTTCAGATATGGAAACGAGTGAAAAAATCCAAGGAAGTGGAATACTTCAGCTGTTTGCAAGTCTGTTGATTCCACAGTCTTCCTGCACAGCGAAAGTAGCTAACATCATAGCAGAAGTAGCCAAAAATGGTGAGGCTTTCCTCAAGAACTTTTCTGCTGGGAACATCTTCAGTTTTACACCTCACTTGTCAGTATGTTTTATTAATTTATGTTTTAATTTTGTAAATTAGACGTCCATTTCTTTTTATTTCTCTTTTCTTTGACTTTTTACCATGTAATTATTGAAAATGACTATAGTTATAGTCATTCTATTCACATTTCCATTCCTTCAGAGTAGAGTTAAAGGAAAGCCACACCTGTGTCATGGATGTCTTTGGTAATAGGATTCTTGAGCTTGCCACTGAGTCATTCATCTTAATTGTCATGGGAGAGCTCACCTTTTCCAGTGTGTATGTTGGTTTGTATTATACCCAGATAAACCTCCCCTTCTTTTCAGGGAGGTGGGGGGTCTGACCTATTTTCCTAACATTGGCACCTGGCACCTGACTGCAGCAGTGCAGTTGGAATTTATGTTCTGTTTCCTGCACTCACCTACGTGGGACACATTTATTTCTTAAGTCTCCATGTAAGAATACTATGGAAAAACAGCAATGACAGCAAAATTTAGATTATGTAATAGCTAATCCATCCTATTAGAGATGGTTTCTATCTAATGAGAGATTCTTTGGAAGAACTGTATTTTACCAGAAATATTTGCACGGGTTTTTTTTTTTTTTAAGATTTTATTTACTTATTTGAAAGAGAGAGAATGAGAGAGAGCGAGCAAGCACATGAGAGCGGGGAGGGTCAGAGGGAGAAGCAAACTCCCTGCCAAGCAGGGAGCCCGATGCGGGACTCGATCCCGGGACTCCAGGATCATGACCTGAGCCGAAGGCAGTCGCCCAACCAACTGAGCCACCCAGGAGCCCCTGCACGTGATTTTAATTCAGTTTGAGAAAAACACTGACTTCTTAAAGCAGTTTTTAAGCATAAGGGAAGGCCATACTTAATGTAATATCTTTAGCATGCCTCGATTTTCGAAATTTGGTATTATTTTTAGAACTTTTATTTTAGCAATTTGCATATATTATAAAGAGAAGAAATTTTTAAAATTCTGGCTTCATTTGTGTAATCAGTATGGCAGGTGGCATTGTAAAGTACAAGTATGTGTTGTTTTTTGGCCCAGTAAGACAATTTGTTCATGTGTGTTACCAAAAAAAAAAAAAAATTGCAATGGAATTTTTTCATTTGTTTAGAGGTTCTCAAAATGTCTTTCAGATTCCAATGAGGTTCTGTATTGGTAAATCATTTTTTGGTTGTTAAATGAAAATTGGCCACTTATTGTTTGTATGTCATGTGTAAGCTACTGTAATTATATAATCATTATGCTGTGCTTTGGATTCAAGCTGGTCATAACTGTTCAGATTCCTAGTGGTAGGGGAGTATTTAGTGTGCTTCAAGCAGATTTGAACTGCTCTGAATAGACAGTGATTATCTTGGGATAACAAAGAACTCCTGAAGCAGATCTAGTTTGAGAATGGAACCCCTCTAGATGGTATTTGTTAACCTAGACCAACCATTACCTGAATCTATTCTTAGATGCAGTACAGCTTGATTTTTAAGATCAGGTGGTTCATTTTTTTTTTTAAAGATTTTATTTATTTATTTTAGAGAGAATGAGAGAGAGCATGAGAGGGAAGAGGGTCAGAAGGAGAAGCAGACTCCCCGCTGAGCAGGAAGCCTGATGCAGGACTCGATCCTGGAACTCCAGGATCATGACCTGAGCCGAAGGCAGTCACTTAACCAACTGAGCCACCCAGGTGCCCCTAGGTGGTTCATTTTTTAACTTCATGGGAATTACAGTATACATTTCCAGAAATCAATTTTTTTTCTTAAAACCTTTTTAGAATGAGTCTACGTACTAATTATAACATAGATTCAGAAATTTCGGATAGTAAATTTTTGTGAAATGAATTTTCATTCCTCTATGATCTTACTTAATAATATCAGTCCTTACAATACTTTGTCACAGTTTTGTGATAATTCTCCTGCTATAGGTTGCTGCTAGTAACACTCTAATGGATGACAGCTACGTTGTAAAGACATAATAGAATTTTTAGAATTTATGCTTCTAATCAGAGGCTTGTTATGGCATATCACTAACCTCTACTGATTAAAATAAATAGAATACATTTAAATACTTATTTCTTGCTTAATCACCACATTGTTTTTGTAAGTGATTGGCTGAGAAAGTGAATTAGAATCTTCTTTTAAAAACAAATAATATCTTCAGAAATATAGCATGATCCAACAGAGTACATTGATTGGGCTTGTCTTCTTGTTAGGAACTTGACAATGAAAAAAAGATTATATGAACCAGAGTTAAAAAGAGATTGGAAGTTGATTTGTTCATCTTCACTCTGCTGCACATTTTATGTAACTACAGGGGAGAAATATTAGCATATACTTCTTAGATTCAGGTTAATCTAAAAATATAATTACGTTTACACTTGCACATCCAGAAAACCCTCTAAAAATCAACATACCTGACTAATGTTCAAAATCCAGAGGATTAGAAAACCCTCTAAAAATCAGCATACCTGACTAATGTTCAAAATCCAGAGGATTAGCAAGAAGTTTCATGGGCAGGTTTAATGTGGGAGCATAGCTATGAACATAAATTATAGGATTATTTTATAATAATTATTATATAATAATTTATATTTTATAATATATAATATAATAATTATAGTTTTATTTTATGCACATGAGAAAACAGGTTAAATATCTTGGCTATCTTTACAGCTAGTAGGTGGTACAGCTGCGATTCAAACACTTAGGTGATAATAGTTGGAATTTGTGCTTCGCTTTGTCTCTTCTGCTTTACTTCTCTTCAGTAAATGAGATTTTATGATAGAAGTGGAAAGTGTACTAGTGGTCTGAATGCAGGGTTAGCAGCATATGACCTGAAAGATTAGGCTGATAAATGAAGTTAAAATGTGTAAAAAGCAAACAAAAGGTGAACTACTTTGTATCTCTTCATCTAGTCCTCCAAAACAACAGTTGCCTGCCTTGGACCATCAGCATCAGATTCACTAAAAACTGATTAGGATACAAATTCTTGGATCCTCCCACTTAGACCTACTGAATCAGGAACTCTAGGACTGGGGCCTGCCTGCCGTCTGTTTTAACAAGTCTTCCAGGTGATTCTCATGCCTATAAAGCTTGAGAACCAAATTGCAGTCTAAAGTAATACAGAATCAGTAATTTGGATCAATATTATGCCTTTTCCCCCCAGTCTGTGCTTTATCAGATTGTAAGTCTTTATAAAACTTTTCCCCTAGAATGCTCTGAACAAAAGAGTTTAAGTGTACACCCAGGATGAGCTAGAGAGGCCACCACTAGAAACAGGGAAGTCTCCTGCTTTGTCTTGTAAATTTATTTGCTTTAATTTTGTCCTCTACTCCATAACAAAGATATGTTTATTTTAGTATTAAATATATGTATGCTCTAGAAAAGTTGTTGAATAAAATTGATACTACCCCCCCAACCAGAGAAATTCACCAGGTTGTCAGGTAGCTAGCTTTAAGTATACCTTGATATTGCAGTGTTGGAAGCTTAACCTCAGTCATTTTGTAAGAATTAGTTACAGTTACCAGTATTGACTTTTATTTTTTAACAAAAGGCAATACAGTATAAATGAAAAATGTCAATTCAGCAACCTGTGTATAAAAGTCACTGGTTCTTATGTATTCATGCCTCATAGTTGTCCTTGTTCTTCCAAAAAAAACCATAAAAAGTTAAGAGTTAATAATAATAGGAAGCTTATTAGAGAAAATTCAAACTCTGAATATACATTACTATTTAGTCTAACATTAAGGTAGACTCTAACACTCAATGTTTTTATTTGGCTTATAGAGTTAAAAAAGTTTTAATAAAATAGATTTGGGTCCTTCAGGCAGCTGAAAATGGGGAAAGTATGTATATGTAAGGCTTTTAATATTTGATAAGCAGATTATAAAAAGTAGATTTTATAAAAAGAAAACTATTTTATGATTTTCATCACAGTGCTGTACTTCATGATGATGCTGAATGAGTATATAATTCTAGTAGGTTTGGGAAAGTAAAAGCAAAAAAGAAAGGAATACTGGATTCAGAAAGAAATAGAAATATTCTATCAAGCATTTATTGAGTGTTTCACTACAAAGGAAAAAAAATACTCTTCAGTAGAAATCAACTTTATGTTAATGAATTTGGGTTGATATTGAGATAGAGCAATGCCTATTCCTTGAACCTCTATATTGAATTTCTATATTGAAGTCCACACATTATGCAAAAAACAAAATGAATTTTAACTTGTATAGACACACATAGAAGCATACAAGTACTTAGTGGTTTCTGCCTTCTGTTGCATAATGGCTTCCACTGACTTTGGTTTCTTCACTCACTATCATTCTGTATGTATCTTACTTTGAGCCTTAGCCTGACAGTCCTTCCCTCATTCCCCAGGAACTTTTCGGTTCTCCGGAGTTCAAATTACCAAGAGAGGATCTGATTTTTTTTTTTTTTTAAGTTCATTGCTGTTGTCCTGTTTAGCAGATTTTTTGAACTAGAACATCTGATAGGCTATTGGCCACCCTGTATATAGTCTGGACTCGAGTCAGAATCTAACCAGCTATGATCAGGTAACAGGCTTATGTAGTATGAACTAGGGATGTGGGTAGTGGGAATCCCTTTGAACAAGGATGACTGTCACAGCCATTCATTCTGTAGCTTCTATAACATTATATATATAATATATATAAATAAATAATATATAATGAAATATATTTTAAACATATTCCTTATAAGTTCCTGGTATGTTTTTATATCTATCCATGTAAAGTAGGTAACTTCATGTCTTTAAAACTAGCTAAAGGTGGCCTGGGTGGCTCAGTCGTTAAGCGTCTGCCTTCGGCTCAGGTCATGATCCCAGGGTCCTGGGATCGAGTCCCACATCGGGCTCCCTGCTCAGCGGGAAGCCTGCTTCTCCCTCTCCCACTCCCCCTGCTTGTGTTCCCTCTCTTGCTGTGTCTTTCTCTGTCAAATAAATAAATAAAATCTTTAAAAAAAAAAGAAAAACTAAAGAGGGCTGCACTCCTCAGTTAAAAAGCAAACTGACTGAAAAGCAGAAGGTTTTAGAAGGGAGTTTACTTTTTCCAGGGACTGGCAGTATTGCCTTTACATTGAAAGCTGAGGAATATATTAGTTTTATTTTATTTTTATGTGCTTTTTTAAAAAAATTGAGGCACAATTGACCTATAATATGGTGTTTGTATGCTTTTGTATAAAAAAAACAGTTTTATTTGATTCTGCAGTTTTTCTGTAATTATTTATTCTCTATCATTTCAAGAATAACTGGAACTATTGATTGTACCATCAGAATTTTGAAAGATATGTTGGTATCATATAGACCATTAGAGCATTAAAGCAAAGAAAAATAGTAGCTCATCAGTGTTGCCATCACCTGAAGAATAGCAACAACAAACCAAACAAGCAAAACAATAAAATATAACAACAGCTTCCATTTATGAAATAAGAGTGCAAATCAGACTATTCCTAAATTTCTTATTTTAGTAGTTACTTCACTGTTGGAAACTAGGCATAGGGAAAGGTAGGAAAGATAATGAATATCTATCTTTAAATTGATTAATTGGAGTTGGTGACATGTTATTTTAAGATTTGAAATATATAAAGATCCTAAAGTGATCATTAACTTAAGAGGTAGACAAGTAGATTGATGTGTCATTCCCTATAGAAGATGGTCATTGAATTCTTGAAAGTATGTATAGCATAAATCGTTTTCCCAATAGGGAAAACTCCCAATAGGGAGTTAAAACAAACAAACAAACAAACATCAACAGTAGACTTGAAGATTAACTTTAGAAGTAAGAAGTACTTCTTAAATCTTGGAAGTTTAAATTACAGAGAGTTTTCAATAATACAATGGTAAGTAAGTAAGAGATGTAATAGGAATGCAATCCTTTGTTTAGGTATAGAGGAATACCTCTGTGATTCATAGCTATGTCATGGGGAAAAGAAGTTGTTTCAGTGGTAACAGCTCACATAACGGCCCTATATGATGTGCTCTAGGAATTTGAAAATGAGGAAAAAAAGACAGGGAAGATTTCTTATGATGGTACTGGTGGAACAAACTAAGGAGTTGACCGCCTTGAAAGTAATAGTGAAGAGACAATGATTTTTTTATTTAGTAGGATGGGTTATAGGTTGAGGAATTAGGTCTGTGTTGACTAAGTTCCTTGACTAGTACATCCTTTAGTAAGTCATGATGTCCAGAATGATAGTTCTCATATTATTTGGAGAACTTGCATTAATTGGATATCATTATTATCCTTTAATTTTGTAGTAGTCCATCATGAGACACTGTAAAAAAGTTTATGTCTAGTCATCATGACTATGATATCATTGGGGGACAATAAATTTGAGAAAGATTTACTATAGAACTAATGAAAAATGAGTTGGAAGTATAAGAAAACTTAACATTTGGTACTTGAGACCTATGAATGTGTGGGTATAACAGCAGATGTGAGTGATCCATAAAAATAAAGAGTAGGAATTAAGGAATAGATGATTTTACTAGGTCTTAGCCACTGAAAAGGACCTATAATTTGTTTTTTGGTTTTTTTAAAGATTTTTTTTTTTTATTTATGTGACAGAGAGAGACACAGCGAGAGAGGGAACACTGTGACTATCACTCTGAATGGGAGAGGGAGAAGCAGGCTTCCTGCGGAGCTGGGAGCCCGATGCGGGGCTCGATCCCAGAACCCTGGGATCATGACCTGAGCCGAAGGCAGACGCTTAACAACTGAGCCACCCAGGCACCCCAGGACCTATTATTTGTAATGATACGCTTGAACCTTTAAAAAATATTTCGTCTTTTTAGAGAACATATAGTGAAAAAAGAGAGCGAGAACATGTGAAAATTTGCACAATTTGATGGCTTAGTTTATAACTGTAGTACTTTAATTATCACGCTCATGGAAAGAACATTGCCAGTGTTTCCGTCATCATATATTGCTTCCCAAGCACATTCATTACTATGAGAAGATAGTGATCAATTAGGTATAATGAAAGTTAATTAAAAATCTTTTGGGTTTATGACAGAGACTGTCAACAAAGAAAAATATGACCCCACTTATTTTGTGTACTTATTTCACTAAGTATTTAGTAGAGTTATAATGGTACTTTTGAACAGAATGTACTCTTCAAATGGTAAGCCATCTTAAACCTTTTAATAGTAGGTAGGTATTTTATTAAAGGACATGATTATGTAAATTGTGAATTTTTAGATTTTTAATTACCTATGTCTCTTATTTTCAGAATTTATGCGTATTCCATGTGTGGATGCTGGATTGATTTCACCACTGGTGCAGCTGCTAACTAGCAAAGACCAGGAAGTGCTACTTCAAACGGGCAGGGCTCTAGGAAACATATGTTACGATAGCCGTAAGTGTTGAAATATCAATGATACACTTAAAAACTTTTTTTTTAAGAATTACGGTTTTGAGACCAATTTCACTTTTAGTGTTAGCACTGTCTTTTTTAGACTAAGACACTAACATGGGCCAATATGACTTAGTTCTGCTTACTCAGCAGAACCAGTAGAAATTTGGGTCATAGCATTCTTAACTAGGAAGTTAAGGAAATGAATTCTTTTCCTCTGCTATCACAAATAATACTTTTGGAGGAAAGTAAGTCAATTTCTAAGAAATTGGGGCTTTTAGTTTTAGAAAAAATACATATTATCTTTTCAGTTAGATTTTATTGAAGTTCTGTCTCTGAATGAGAATGCTTATGAACACAGTTTTTTAAAGTATCTAAGCCTGTCCAAATAAATTTTTAATTACTTGCAATTCAGTATATCCATTCATAAAAACCATCATCTTCTCAAAAGCTACATTGGCCCACTGCATTTGCATTGACTCCATTCCTATTTGTCATAATGTCACACTGTCATCCTCACGACCTTCTATAATACACTGCTCTGCCAGATAGAGAGAAAGCAAGAACTTGGGTATGGGTATATTACAAAATTTTCTACTTCTCCTCTCCACATTTATGTAAGTAGAATACAGAAAAAGCTTGAGTATATTCAGTTTAATTAGGCTTATCCTGGATTTTCCTTAGACTTATATTTTCTGAGCCAAAAACACATACTTTAACATTTACCTTTAAAATCTCCTAGGAATTTAGTTCTATTTATTTAGGATAACTCTTACTGTTTATTTTCCCCATTGATGTCATGCACAAAAGACATAGCCCTTTTATAATAGGCAGTGCTTCAAAAAGTTATTTGTGCATGTAAACCAGGTAGAAAATAAGATCATGAACATACTTATGGTAAAAGAAAGAAGTAGAAAAAAGACTGAAACTCCAGCTTTTCAGTTATAATTTGTAGCATTAATGGTAAGGCCAGCCTCATTTATTCTTCTTTCCTTTTTCTGGAACATTATATATTATATCTGAGGATGTGGATGTCTTAATATGAATTTTAGCTTATAGCTCCTAGTCCCCAATACTGGTTATAAATTTATCTACTGTTCCTTCATTCCTGTGCCTTTTATCCTAGGATATTAGCTTTACTTATAAACTTCTGGTACTTTATGTTTATAACTTTGCATTATTATATAGGATTTTTTTAAACATCATGGCTTATAATATTAGCTTTCCAGAGTGAACCATTTAAGATATATTTTATATGACTAATTTTAACAATATATACTAAAAAAGCCTCTACAGAGTTATAGTCAAAGATCGATGGCATGTATTTGGAGAGCATTGATCATTACTATGTTTATTCTTATCCTCTGTGTATATTACTAGAGCTTAAGTCTATCATAAGTATTCTTTAATCCTTGTTCTGTTTAATTATTCTTAAATTATGCATTTTTTAACCATAGGAAATAACTGTTTTGAGTACTTTTTTCCTGGACTTTCCATTAGTTTTGGCACAGTACAAGAAACACTCATACTGATCTCTTGTCTCATTGCTGTGATTTTTATGGGCACAGAGTAATTTATTTCCTGTGTACTCTAAGGAGCCTTGAAGTTAGGGTAATAAATGTGTAGTTAATAAGATTATCATTTTGATGAAACTAAAGTCCATTATTATAGTGTTTATCATATCTGTTTGCTCTGTTCTTATGAGGTATACAGTATAAAGTCTGTGGATGTGCTTTAGGCTATGAAGTTAATTTTTTTGTTTCATTTATTTATAAATATTTATAACCACTTCATTTTCACTTAATTCAGTGTAATTTATAGTTAAGTAGAAAATTAAGCATAGCAAATACAGGCCATTTTCTATACTTGTAAACCTTGTTTAAGGAAAATGAAGTTAGTAGTCTTAAAAAGGAATGATTTATTATTGTAAGTCATGTGAAAAATGTGTTCGTTGTGCCATGCTATCTTGTGCATATAATTTCCATAAGCCTGTATGCTTTCTTATCCTTTCATTTGAAATTAAATCTCTGTGAACTTCTCAGTGATTTTTTCAGAATAATTGTAGGGAAAGTATAGCACTTTTATTTGAATTATAAGAATGATATATCTGTAAATGATAATGCTGTGTGGCTGATTTGTGAATTTACTTGAAATGCATTTCTCATTATATTTTGTGACAATTGGGAGTTTGAAAGAACCCAGAAATTAGATTTCTCTTTTTAAAAAGTATTAATAGCTTCTATTTTAATTAATTAACCTTATTCCCTCTCAAGAATGTAATGCTTTATTCTTAAAAGGAAGATTGAAAACTCCGCATGATACCTTTATAAATACAAGGAATCTTTTTCTTATAAGTAACATATGTTTTAAAATTCACATTTGTGTTTTATCAAACTTTCCTGTCAGACTAATTAGTTTACTTATATTTTATGATGTACTCCAAATGGAGAATTTTTTTTTTTTTTTAAAGATTTTATTTATTTATTCATGAGAGACAGAGGCAGAGGGAGAAGCAGGCTCCCCGCGGAGCAGGGAGCCCAATGTGGGACTCGATCCCAGGACCCTGGGATCATGACCTGAGCCGAAGGCAGACGCTTAACCGACTGAGCCACCCAGGCGTCCCAAAATGGAGAATTTTTTAATGTAGGTTTATTCAGAATGATACTGGGCTTACAATAGATACGAAAGCCAATGTATGCAAAAAGCACCAGAAGGCATTCACTATTAGAAATAGAAATTTGAGTAATATATATGTATTTTATGGATTTATATTTTAACCCTTAAAAAGTAAAGCAGTTGCTAGCATATTTCAGTTAACACAGTTTATTTGAAAGGAGGAGAGTTCCAATTGTAAAAGGAATTACACTTGCCATAAAATCCATGGAAATCTTTTGAAAAAAGTAGGTCAGATTTCAGTTTTACCGGCTTTGACAGTACCCATTTTAGGAACTCTTCCGAATGGAAGGAAACTCTTATATAACATCAGGTAGCAGGCTGATATAACTGCTAAATGGGTCGGAGTGAGGCTTTGTTGCTGATGAACTGTTTGAATCCCAGTCTCTCTCTTGCATATAGAGATGAAAGAATCACTGGGTAAGAACATTTTTCATTTAAAATGTCTGGTCTTTTTTCTGTTCTCCCAAAGAGCCAGCAAAGGTACTTCACTTATGGATTTCTCTTTCGAAGTATCCAAACAGACTTCTGATAATAAGCAACATTTTAAAATAGCTCTTTTGCCTTGAACTTTGCCAAGTAACTCTTTTTATAAGAAGTTTGACATCCTTTAAATCAAAGATCAGAGAAAAATTGTATTTCAATTTAGAAGGAATCAGCAAAGCTTTGTTGGGGATACCTTGGGGAATATAATTTTAAATAAAGAGAAATAGTATTAAATTTCAGAATTGCATACCTTCAGCCTGTTTCATTATACATTTCTCTCAGAGGTGGTATTAAAAAGAAAGAGTTCTTTTTTCCTCCTTATTTGGCCATCTCTGTAGTATTCCCTTCTTTCAGTGATTAGTTTTGTTTATATAGCTGTGCATATTTTAAATTGCTGATGTAGTTAAATGGTCTTATAGTACTAAAGAGCTTCACGTTAAATTCCCATGCTGTATTTATAATTTGTAAAGATAAATTGGTGATTGGAGACTGAGTTTTCTCTGTTTGCAGATGTTACTGCTTGAGGTCAGGAAATAATCGATATTAGATATACTTGTTCAAAGTTATTTAGTAGGGCCTAGAAGAAAATGATTAGACAAAATTAAATATTTGTGCCTTTTTATATACCAGAAAAAGATTAATACACAATTCAAATTAATACATATTAAAATTAAGCAAATAATGCCTGTTTACAAAAAATAAAATTAATGCTTATTACGTAATTAGTACTGTTACTGGAAAGATACACACTTAGGGAGCTTATATAATATGCCATCTTACATGCTATAAAGAAAATTGGATTCGTGCTCACTGATGAATAAACAAATATTCCAAAATGAGGTGATAATCGGGCTTGCCAAAGCCAGTATTTATGAAGTGAAATAAATATTATTTATTTCATTGACTTCAATTGTAATTGGAAAGGATACCAAATATATGCATGGATCTATGTATATATATTAGTGATTATAACTATGCTACACTATTTTTATGTAAAAAATAAAGAATTCATTGTTCTGGTTGCAAATACTAAAATATACTTAGCAGTAATTCTATAATATTTTGTAATATAAGTTGGTTAGATAAGTGTGTATTAATATAATACAGACATGCTTTGAAATTGCCTAAGTAAGCAATGTGTATTTGCAGCAGTTATATTTAACAGGGAACTATTTATGCCTGGCATTTAAAATACATGTTTATTGGGCGCCTGGGTGGCTCAGTCGTTAAGCGTCTGCCTTCCGCTCAGGTCATGATCCCAGGGTCCTGGGATCGAGCCCCGCATCGGGCTCCCTGCTCGGCGGGAAGCCTGCTTCTCCCTCTCCCACTCCCCCTGCTTGTGTTCCCTCTCTCGCTGTGCCTCTCTGTCAAATAAATAAATAAAATCTTTAAAAAAAATTAAAAAATAAAATAAAATACATGTTTATTTCAATGGTATAAATTAGGTTAAGTATTTAATTATGTTATTAAAGGGTTTTGCAGGTTCATATATTTACCCCACTCCTTTTACAGTATTCAGTTTTATTTTTTTTTTTTTAAGATTTTATTTATTTATTTGACAGAAAGAGCACAAGCAGGGGAAACAGCAGAGGGAGAGGGAGAAGCAGGCTCTCTGCTGAGCAGGGACCCTGATGTGGGGCTCGATCCCAGGACCCTGAGATAATGACCTGAGCCGAAGGCAGACACTTAACTGACCTAGCCACCCAGGCACCTCTACAGTATTCAGTTTTAGAGTAAAATAGAATTATCAGCCAGTAAGTATAAAAATCAGATTCTTCAACTTTTAACAGTTAATCTGTTGTATATGAATGTGTGTATTATCAAAGTATATCATGTATATAAGA